GTGTTTGTGGAGACCCACTTTTTCCAGATGAACATTTAACATTTCAGGTCAGAAACAAAACACACAGGGATGCTCCAGGTACCACATGCCACCTTCTCTGACATGGGCCGGGCTTCCAGGCTCGACTCCATCCCCTTCTGATGCATGATGGTCTGTCCTCCTGCAGAACTGAACTGGGACGTTGCTAGAGTCCCACAGTTACCATTGGGTGAGAAGGGGAATTTGCTTTAGGAAGGAAAATATTGCCATGAAAAACCAGTTGGAATGAAAATCCAATTCCCCTCCAAAAACACTTTTGAAAGAATCGTGGATTGATATTGTGGGCCCCCTGGTAAAAGTGTCCAAGGCACTATCCATGTGTCATCCAGAAACAGTTCCTTTGTGCTCAGTAACTTGTGCAAACTGTAGCCACCAAACTGGTACAGCTGCCCTCTTGGGTTGGCCTACCTGCTGAAATCCTGATGGGCCAGGGGAAAAATTTCAGGTCATGATTGTTAAGAGAGAGTTGGACATGTTGCAAGTTTAAACCCCTCCGAACCTTGGCGTACCATTCCCAAAGTGATGGCCTGGTGGAGTGGTGCAATAGAACCCTAAAGATCTTGTTGAGGAAATTTTTAAATAGTGACCCTGGTAATTGGGACCAGCTATTTTCCTTCTTGATATTTGCGGTGCAGGAGCTACCCAAGGCCTCAACAGGGTTCTCTCCATGGGAGTAGTTATGTGGCTGGCTATTTGAGGGACACTGAACCTTTTCAAAGAAAGATGGGATAACCAAGCCTGTTGAACCCACAGATGCGAGAATGATGCAGGAACAACTGAGCCAGGCAGCCAAATTTGCCCAAGAAAATTTAGAAAACGCTCAACAAACCCAGGCTCACCATTCCATAAAGGTTGGCCAGGAAAAGCTCAATCAACCTGGGGACCATGTTTTCTTGCCGGACACTGAACCTTTTCAAAGAAAGATGGGATAACCAAGCCTGTTGAACCCACAGATGCGAGAATGATGCAGGAACAACTGAGCCAGGCAGCCAAATTTGCCCAAGAAAATTTAGAAAACGCTCAACAAACCCAGGCTCACCATTCCATAAAGGTTGGCCAGGAAAAGCTCAATCAACCTGGGGACCATGTTTTCTTGCCGCTACTCAGCTCCAAAAGTTAATTACTGGCCAAACGGCGAGGCCCCTCTGAAGTGATATGATGAGTGGGTGAGCTGGAGATCCGTTGTCCAGAGAAGAAAAAGGAAAAACAAATATTTCAGGTGAATTCACTAAAACTCTGGAGAGCACAGGAGTCCCTGGTCAGAAACCCCCTTGGAAGTGACAGATGATTTAGGTCCAGAACTGAAAGTCTCTCAGGCTATGCCAATGTGCCCACAACACACGGCCTCCTTGCGCATTTGTATTTCCTGGAACATTCCAATGTCCTTTTTCCCACATGACCCAGTTGGATGCATTTGGTGGCAAATCACAACTGGGCAGCTCCAAAGGCCAAACCCGAACTCAAAAGCTACCAATTTCCTGAAAAGCTCCTGAAGCAGGAAGTTCAGGCTATCTTAGGCTACGTCTACATTGGCCCCTTCTCTGGAAGAGGCATGCTAATTTGTAACATTGGAATAGGGAAATCCGCGGGGGATTTAAATATCCCCCGCGGGATTTAAATAAACATGTCCGCCGCTTTTTTTCCAGCTTGGGGAAAAGCCGGAAAAAAGCGTCTAGACTGGCGCGATCCTCCGGAATAAAGCCCTTTTCTGGAGGATCTGTTATTCCTACTTTCAGGAAAAAAAGCGGCGGACATGTTTATTTAAATCCCGCGGGGGATATTTAAATCCCCCGCGGATTTCCCTATTCCAACGTTACAAATTAGCATGCCTCTTCCGGAGAAGGGGCCAGTGTAGACGTAGCCTTAGAGTTTGGAATTAGCGAAGAGCCCCAAAGCCCTTGGGGTAGTCCAGTACTCCCAATTATGTGGCCTGGCTTGTAAGACTCACTTAGCCACCATGGACTGGTAACCCTGTACCATCTGTAGGACCTGTGCGTGTATGTGGGTTTGTCTTTAAAGCGTATGCTAACTGCTTCTCTACTGTATTCTCAATAAATGCAGCGGATTGCCTTCAACCCTGAAAAAGATCCCATGTGCTTCTTAGAAGCGTAACACCCCTTTGGCGTCAGGAGGCAATTGTGTGCTGGGAGCAGAGTTTTCAGTTTCTTCTCGCTGTTGGCAGATTGGGAGCCAGAGAAATGCAATGCACAAAAGGAGGTGGTAGGATGTCTGGGGAGGGGCGGGAGGATGCTGGTGGTGGCTGGAGCAGTTTCTGCCTGGTGGGTGATTTTCAGGTCAGTGCAAACACACAGTTTTGGGCATATCTGCTCTCTATTTTGCAGCCTGCCCAAAGATTGGCTTAGCCTATGGAAACTACCCCAAGATCCTACAGCTCACAGGAAACAGAGAGAGCAGGACAGTTAGGAGCTTCCTAAGGGAATCCAGGGCACAGTGCTTTCTGGGGTCATATTTGTAGTGACAGGCGTGGGAGTTTCTGAGCCTGTTGCTTGTAGTTTTTAGTGGTGCTTAGGGGACATGGCTTTGTCTACATTCCTTGGCAAAGAATATAACTGACTTGTAGCATCACGTTTTCCTCCTAATGCCATCAATCCTCCAATACCTCCCCAGTGGGCACCATTTAAAAGAAGGGAGGAACCAATATGCCCTGTAGCACTGAGTAATACTTGGGATCATTTTGCAACCGCAGTGACAAGGGGAGGAATTTGATTCTAGGGTTCCAGCATTTTAGTTACGTGCATCACTGGTGCGGCAAGGCCAGAGGGGCCAATCTCAAAACTGCCAGGCCTAGAGGTGTCAGGGCTCAGCTCTGGCAATCCCTGGCATACGTTTGGCCCTGAGTTTAGGAACGGTACAGGACTCCACAGGGAACCATTTCAAAGTTCAGGCTCAGCTCATTAACTTGCATCGAGTGCTGAGGCTTTACAGCCTACGTGCATTGTGTACAAACCATTCTGAGTGCAGGCTCAGATCAGCACAGTATTTTAATAGGCAAGCACACAAATCTGAATGGGATATCGTCCCTCACTGCTGCAGAGAGCAAAAATTTAGTTTAGTTTTTACATTTTTCACACTTGACCTCGATAGCACCTTTTCTGCCGTTCCTATGTTGTAAGGCTACTGACATCATGTTTGTAAGAGTGGGATGAACCCAGGAAAAATCATGCTATGCCCGGCATAGCCTGGAAAGCAAGAGTGTCAAGAATGTTTAGTACCCTGAATTTTGGGGTGCTCAGCTTGAGAGGCAGTCATGACAGGGGAGCCAAAGAGTGCAGAATCTATATCGCTTTCCTGTGAGCATCAGCAAACACTGTGGCATCTAAACCATTCTGTAATGTTCCCTACTGATGTTAAGTTCTCTGTGTCTGGGAATGGGGACACTCCACAACCTTTGCCCATGGATACCAAACTATTGAAAGGGCTTTGAAATGCAGGCTCCCCACAACAGCCACATGAGTCTCCTACTGCCCTCGCTCAGTGTCAGCACCCGTGCATGACATAAGTGAAGTTGACTTCAAGTAGTGTGGGATTAGCATAGACGAACCCTGAGAAAGATCCAGGATAGAACATAACCCAGGAACAAGCTGACTGTCCAGCAATATGGGACACCCATTGCTTAATATCAGAGGGGTAGCCGTGTTAGTCTGAATCTGCAAAAGCGACGAGGAGTCCTGTGGCACCTTATAGACTAACTGAAGTGTAGGAGCATAAGCTTTCGTGGGCAAAGACCCACTTCGTCAGATGCATGTAGTCCATTGCTTAATGTAGATGACAGAGAAAATTCACCCTTTTCATGCTATTTTGTGTTCAGTTCAGTGCAGACTGTCACAGAGGAGGTGCATACACCGTGCTCTCAACCGCTAATGCTATGCTTCCTATTACTTGCTTTGTTGTTACTACACTTAAAATACTTGACAGTGGAATGGAAATTACCTTTCTCCTTCTTGTGCCTGAACACAAAACATAAGAACATAAGAATGGCAGTGCTGTGTCAGACCAAAGGTCCATTTAGCCCAGTAGCCTGTCTGCTGACAGTGGCCAGAACCAGCTGCCCCAGAAGGGGTAGACCAAAGACAATGAGTGAGCAATTTGTCTCCTGCCATCGTTTTCCAGCGTTTGACAAACAGAAGCTAAGGACACCATTTCGGTCCCTTGGCTAATAGCCTTTTATTTACCTAACCCCCATGATATTATCTAGCAAGTGACACTATGCAGAAGAAACCCACAGAAAGGGCTAAAGAGTAGCAGGATGACGGGCAAACACCGCCAGACATCACACATGTCACAATTGGAACTACATAATGAAATCAACACCGTTGGAAGAAAGAGGGAGAAAGATTTATTGCATCCCCCTTCTTTCTCAATACCAACACCTCCCAGCTTTCAAAACAGATCACATCTATATTTGTGCGCACAGAAGGGCAGTAGACCTGCAGCCCGTGTTGGAATACAGACACATGCATAGTAACAACAATATATTAATCAATAAAACCACAATAGGCTGTGTGAAACGACATGCTAATTGAAGTCACCTGCTTCCATTTCCCATCTCTCCACCAGCACTGAGTCAATCAGACTCAGAACTGGGTCAGGAGTTTGTTCATGGCTCTCCTCAGTTCCTTGTTCCTCAGGCTGTAGATCAGGGGATTCAACAAGGGGATCACAAGCGAGTAAAACACTGAAGATATTTTGTCGGTGTCCATGGAGTAGCTGGAGCTGGGTCGAAAATACATGAAAAGGAGAGCACCATAAAACAATCCCACTGCAGTCAAGTGGGAAGCGCAGGTGGAGAAGGCTTTGAGCCGACCCCCGGCAGAGCGGGTCTGCAGGATGGTGTAAATGATACAGACATAGGAGAGGAAAATGATCACAACACTGATCGCAACATCGTAGAACATGGAAGCCAACTGCAAAATATCAATGATGCGGGTGTCAGAGCAGGAGAGGACCAGCAGTGGGGGAATATCACAGAAGAAATGATTGATGACGTTAGAGAGGCAGAATGACAGCTGGAATGTCAGACACACGTGTATCACTGAATCCACGAACCCCACAACACACACCCCAGCCACGAGAAGGTTACAGCGCTGCCGGGACATGATCACCGTATAGAGTAGCGGGTTACGGATGGCCACATAACGGTCGTACGCCATCACAGCCAGCAAGAAACACTCAAAATCAGAAAAAAAGATAGAGAAAAATATCTGCACAGCACAGGCAATGTACGAAATGCTTTTCTTCTCAGATAAGAAATCCTGCAGCATCTTAGGGGCTACTACTGTGGAACAGCACAGATCACAGAAAGACAAAGTCCAAAGGAAAAAGTACATGGGGGTGTGGAGTTGGGAATCAGTTGTGATTAACGCCATCATCCCCCCATTCCACACCACAGTGAAAACATATATAAGTAGGAACAACACAAAGAGAGGGACCTGCAGCTCCGGACGATCTGTCAGTCCTGTGAGAATGAACTCAGTCACCTCAGAATGATTTCCCTCTTCCATCTCCTCTGAGCAGAGATCTGGCAGCCGCAGGGTTGTGGGCAGTTGGATGGCTCAGGGAACCTGTCCCTTTGCTGTAATGAAGTAAGTGAAGAAAAAGGGAAGTCAGTTTCTTAATAGGTAGCAATACTGGATCAGAGAAGGGGTCAGTCCACAGAGCCAGATGTTCATTGCTGCTCATTCCACGTGGTTCATCAATTTCAACCACTGCACTCACATAAGGGCATAGTGGTGAATCATCACAGAAACTCTCCTCTTCACTAATCCGAGCAGCAAACAGCAACTTTGTGACTTTTCTGAAGGAGAATCATGGTAAAAATCATCTCCATGTGATGGGATTATTCCTTATCTTAAAAAGCGGTGAGAGTAAATGAGTGTCGGTCTTTCCACCCTCGTTGGGCAAGGGGAGCTCTGCGGCTCTACATGTCGGTTTGGTGCACTGTGCTAATGAATCACTTGGGCATCTGATAATGGCATTTACATTAGACTGTATCAAACCCCCAAGACTTAGTGTAACACACCAGTTTCTGTGACTACATCATCACCTATTTTTTTCAATCAAAAGTGTCCTTCCTTAATTCAGGAAGTAGGAACTGGGGCTTTTTGTGCTGGAGGACTTCAATTCAGTGCCTGTCAATCATCATGGTGTCTGTACAGGTGTGTGACTCTGATGCAGGACAACAGCACGTACCTGCAGACAGCAGAGAGAGATGGGCTGGCGCCTCTCTGTCCAGCAAAACTGATACTTTGGTGCAATTGGGAAGGTTTATAATGAGATCTGTGATCTATGGGACAAGATCTCAGGAGCCACTGAGCTCAGAGAGACACAACAACAAATTAATGAGCTCAGGGAATGTCATCCCTGGAGATGATACCTTGGGGAATAATTTGTCGCCTTCTTTTCTCCTATGTTAGTTCGTAATGCAATTTCTATCAGAATTGCAGAGTCCATGCTTGAGGGATATTTCATTCTGCTCTTGTTGCTGCTACCTTACTCCAAAAGTAAATTCTTGGCCAAACG